AACTCTGGCTCTGGTCTTATCCTCAGCTCTCCGTCTTTCTGCCAGCCTCCAGGCTAATCTCTCTAAAGCAACAATGTGACCCTGTTATTTAATAGCTTTGAGTAATGGCTAAAATCCTAAAACCCTCCATCTTCTGTCCTTGCCTCCTCTCCAGATTCATTTCTTGGCTCTTCTGCTTTGCCTATCAAATTGTTACCCTGAGTACACTATTTATCATTCCTTTCTATCTTTGCCCATATTGGCCTGAAATGTGTCCTCTGTTGAATCCCCTCAATTTTATCTGTGCGCTGGCTCCTAATTCATTCTTTTTTCTTTTTCTTTTTGAAATGGAGTTTTGCTCTTGTCGCCCAGGCTGGAGTGTAATGGCACGATCTTGGCTCACGGCAACTTCCTCTGCCTCCTGGGTTCAAGCAATTCTCCTGCCTCAGCTTCCTGAGTAGCTGGGACTACAGGCTGCGCCACCATGCTCAGCTAATTTTGCATTTGTAGTAGAGACAGTGTTTCATCGTGTTAGCCAGGCTGGTCTTAAACTCCTGACCTCTAGTGATCCACCCACCTTGGCCTCCCAAAGTGCTGGGATTACAGGTGTGAGCCACCACACCCCGCCTCCTAACTCATTCTTAAAGATGCATATTAGGGTCCCCAACTCCAAGAGGCTTTCTCTGCTTCATCAGTCTGGATGAAGTGTATCACTGCGTGTGTTCCCACAAGGCTGAGCATTTCTGCACTGTGGCATTTACCACATTGTATCGTCACTTGTTTCTGCTTATGGCTGTGAGCTTGGGAGGTGTTTTTTTCTTTTCTTTTTTTGACTACCTCTAGCATCTGGCATAGAACCTACCTCATAGTAGGCCCTGAAAAAAATTTACCTGAATAAATAAATGAGTGCATTCTGTATGTGAGAGTCCAAGGGAAGATATATTTTAAATTTGTTCTTAAGCTAGAAAGAGAGAGAATTAATTTATTTGAGTATATATGTTTAGTAAATATGCAGAAAATAGGGCTGTGTTTTGAACATGTTCCTTAATATAGAGAATAAAGACATCGTCTCCAAGGCGTGTCCTTCTGAAGCGGAAATGAACAGTGTGCTGAATGCGAACAGCGCTGCCGAATGTGCTGGCTGTGAGGTAGGTGATCTTCTGGGTTGCCTGTGGAGACTAATACTTTTGCTCTGTTCTTGAAGGGCATTGCTTGATTTTAGAATATCTGGATTATGGGAATTGTGGCTACAAACCCAAAATATTGATGTGAAAAGGTAAGGAAAATTTGATTTCTGAATTAAATATGCAGGGAACATACACCTTAAAGGGAATAAGAAAAAAAGAAAAAAGGCAGGGACTGGTGGCTCACGCCTGTAATCCCAGCCCTTTGGGAGGCTGACGCAGGCTGATCATGAGGTCAGGAGATCGAGACCATCCTAGCTAATACGGTGAAACCCCACCTCTACTAAAATATGAAAAATTAGCTGGTCATGGTGGCATGCACCTGTAGTCCCAGCTACTCAAGAGGCTGAGGCAGGAGAATCATTTGAACCCAGGAGGTGGAGGTTGCAGTGAGCTGAGATCACGCCACTGCACTCCAGCCTGGGTGACAGACTGAGACTCTGTCTCGAAAAAAGGAAAAGAAAAGAAAAGAAAAAAATCTCATCCAGAAAAGGATTTTATATGATCATCAATCAGCAGGTACTTTTATAAAGTGGAATGCTTGTGTCTACAGCCTCTTGACATGGGATGTTCACCCTCATGCAAAGAGCTCATCAGCTCAGTCAGCACCAAGAAAGCCAGCTGTGCCATAGCATTTCTTAACTTTTGCCTTCCCCTTACCCTGAGCCTCAGTCAGGTGGCTCATTTGACATTGACCTTGTATTTGGTGAGGGAAGCATTCATTGCTTAGGGAATTATCTTCTATGATTTTAGATGGCATCTATTGTTTTTGTTAGCCCAGCGAAACTATTCACCCTCTTCCTGACAATAGCACCCTGATTTTTCTTGGGACATCACATACTCCATATGGTTGGTTGGGGCTGACTATAACCCTTCCTTCAAAGATGGACATATAAACCAGCCACAAATAGTCAAAATATTGTCTCCCTGTTGATAGTAATTAGTTTGGGAATGGATATGTGAACCAAGCCCAGTCAGTCATAGCAAATCCGGCACTTCAGTTTCAAGAGTTGGAAAAGAGATGTTCTTTTTCCACAGGTTAGCTGAGAAAGTACGTTGTAAGCCTGAAGCTTGCCATTTTGCCCTCAGGACGTGAGAGGCTGCCTGAAAACTGAGCCAGTGGAGAGAAAAGCAGACCTGAGAGAGACCAGCAACAGTGAGTCCTGGTGACATCCTCTGAGCCTCTGGATCCAGTGACACCCAAAGCTAGGCTGGTCTCTGGATGTGACACTATAAACTTCTTTTTGCTTAAGAAAGTTTGAATTTGGTTATCTGTCATAGGCAACCAGAAACATTTTGTCTAATACCACAATCATAGGAAAAATAGACATTAATAAATCCAAAGGGGGACATTTCTATCAACTCAGGGCTTCCAATCTCCTATGTTCCTGCAGTAGATTTTCCTGGATGGTGGTCCACTGAAATGGTCCTCATTCATACAGAAAATCAAGATCAAGTGAGCTTTTGCCTAATTGTTTCTTTGGTCAATTGGTTCTAGCAGATCCAGGTAAAGCTCTCACAAAATGCTCTCACTATAGATTCTGGCCTTTGTCTCTTCCTCTCTTCACTCTGCTGGTGAATAGACCATTTTAGTTGGAGGACTTCTCCCTGTCACTAATTTTTGCTGCACTTTTAAATATTGTACCTCCTGGTTTTTTCTCAGTTGTTTTATTTTCTGTCCTAAATTTCCAGGGTAAGTTTAATATGAAAAATAGCTTAAAGTTATTTAATCTTTCTCTTCTTCAGTTTGACAACCACAAATAAGACTTGACTAGGTGATAATAATCGTCACACTCTCTTGTTTTATCCGGAACATTTTAATGTTTACAATCTCATCTAATCTTCCCAATAATCTTTTGGGGAAGAAATTTTCTCTGAGATCTTGTCAATCCCTAATTCTGTTTCTGTATTTAGAAACAGGAGAAAAATGTGTTTTAATATTTTCTAAGGAACGTGGACATTTATGTAGTAATCTGCAGAATTTTGATGATTAGGATGAGTAAGTAGATCAGGATAAAAATCTTGAGACCTTCGAAAAATCGTCTTAACCATGGGGCAAGAACAACTCAGTGAATGTTAGAAATAGAGCATGTGGAGCATCTGATGCCTAAATAGAGCCATCACAATGATGCCCTGATTCTACCAATATTGTTGGTCTCTTTTCAAGTTAAATCTTCAAGTTTTTTGCATTAATCAATGGTGGCAGTGAGGAGAGGGATAAAGCATATTTAATTATCTAAAATCAAACTCACAGAAAACAGCTCTTACTAATTCTGAAAATTGAGAAGAGTGCTGGATGTCTATGAAGCTCTACCCCTGCAGAAGGTATCCAAAGGCTGGGACATGCATACAACAAGTGATTACTAGCCATGGACACTGAGAATATATTGGGGGCAGGAATGAGTTCCCTGGCCTGGAAGGAGTCCTGGGTAGGTGGGTCTGGATTTAGAAGGATACATAAAAGCAGAAGCAAGTCTAGCCTGGAGTAGGCAACCTTCTCTAAGATGTCTTTTGCAGGCAGCAAGGCAAATCTCCTGGCTCCTAAATCTTTCTCATTATTTGCCACAACTACTGAAATTCACTTTCAGTCTTCCTTTTAGTTGGGTCTTGAAAGTTTTTCAGCCTCAGAGGCCCCTTTGGAAGAAAAGTGCCACAAACCATCATTGATGGGGATTAGGAGACATTTAGCGGGAATAGGGTTGGAGTAAGATCTCCTGAACGTGGAAGGAGGAGGGCAGGCCACTTCAGGGAGGAGGGAAAGAAGGGTCACAGGCGGCAACCATGGGACGTGAACCCACTGCACGAATCTGCTTAGAGCAGGCCTCAGGGAACAATGAGTCACACACAGTCTTGTCAAGAATTATAAGAAAATTCCATAAAAGTTTCCTCTTTTGCTACATTTTTTTTTTGAGTGGAGAGTTTCTTACTTTCTAAATTTGTGTTTTTATCTTTAATTTACTTGGAAACTGTGGTATTTGCCTTCAGAAAATATACTTAAACTTCTCCCACATTCACACACTTCTCCAATATTAAATATATGATCAGACTTAATACAATTATTCTAGAACTGTGCCTGATTTACTTCAGGCCTCAACTCATTTACTTAAGGCTCATGATACATAGGGGTGATTGCTATGTTAAAACCACTAAACAGAGACCGACTTACATACTAAGCCCGGGTAGAAAAAATGTCAAAAAAAGGTACAAAGATTAGAACAGTGATCTATCTGCTCATTTCCTAAATATTGGAGATAATTATTTTAATTAATTAATATTTTTTTGAGATAGAGTCTCCCTCTGTTGCCTAGGCTGGAGTTCAGTGGTGCGGTCTCAGCTCACTGCAACCTCTGCCTCCCAGGTTCAAGCAATTCTTCTCTGCCTCAGCCTCCTGAGTAGTTGGGATTACAGGTGCCTACCACCACACCTGGCAATTTTTGTATTTTTAGTAGAAGCGGGGTTTCACCATTTTGGCCAAGATGGTCTCAATCTCCTGACTTTATGGTCTGCCTGCCTCAGCCTCCCAAAGTGCTGAGATTATAGGTGTGAGCCACCATGTCTACCCTTAATTTTAATTTTAATTAATTAATTATTTTTCTTGAGACAGGGTTTCACTTTGTTGCCCAGGCTGGAGTGGAGTGGCACAATCATAGCTCACTGCAGCCTTGAATCCCTGGACTTAAGCAATCCTCCGACTATAGCCTCCCCAAGTAGCTAAGACTATGGGTGCCATCACAGCTGGCTACTTTAAATTTTTTTTTTTTTTTTTTTTGTAGAGACAAGGTCTCACTATGTTGCTCAGGCTGGAAAATATTGGAGATTTTTTAAAACTGCACTTACCCCATCTGGACTGTTGACCCCAGAAATGAGGGAATGCAGTAGTCAGCAGCTGCCAATGTGTACGGTGGGCGAGCCGCAGAATCATCCCAGTAAATGTCCTTCTTCATCTTGGGTAAGCTCATGTGCATTTCATCCACAGCTAAAAGAGAGACCTAAAATCATTGTTATATTGTTAGAATAACTCAGATGTAAATTAAATAACAAGGAGAAGTTCCTGTGAACAGATAAGCATTAGAGTGAGCCAGGACACAGTCTAAGTGAGTGAATATACTAATGTCTATAGTTCACATTTGCCATGACCACAGCTGCCGCAGAGGGTTGTATCTGTTATTTACTGCTCAAGAGCACTTGGCAGAGAGGGTAAATGAGGCTTAAAGCCTCCCACACTCTAGGATTAAGCCACATGCTCCAGAATGGAGCTGCCTCTTCTCTGGAGGGAGAGGAGACATCTTTTTATTCTTTGCTCACAATTACAGTGTTGTTTTACCTGACAGCGTCCGCTTAACCCCAAATATTACAGGTAGGTGAAGATTCCAACTTTCATTCTGTTAACCCCATAAACACATTTTTACTTGACATAACTTCTTATATGCCCTGGTTTCTGATTCATTTCTTTGTTTGGAAAAACAAAGTCTATACTGCTTAGCGCTATGGTGATCTCTCCTCTTGGCTTTGACAAAGTGATGCATGAATAAATTATTAATCCTCTGGAATCCCATTTTGACAAAGTGAGTGACCTAGGCATTATGTATTCTCCCTAAGAGACTGACATTGAGATCTACTGTGACATGTTTGAACTTATTTAACAGCTGAGTAAGGGCTTGAAACAAATGAACAAGGTGAAGGCCTTCACTTGTCTGCGGTTCATAGGGAAGAGAATGGTCTGAGGAGGGTTTTGCCTAAAAGGAAAATTCCTTCATGCTGATTCTTCATGAAAAGCTCTCTGGAATAGTGTATTTCATGCAGATTTGAGACACAGGCTGGTGTAGCCCAGGTTCCCAGTGTCCAGCTGTTGGCTATCTGACTGCTGGGATTGATGTGACTTTGGGAACTCCTACCAGATTGTGTCTAGATGCCATTTTAAGTCACTTTCAACCTCTCTGGTTTGCAATAGAAAACCAACTAAAGAACAATTAAAAATACTGCTCTATGCTGAGATGTAAGAGACTGGAAAAAGCCAGTAGAGAGACTTACAAAGAAAATTGGCTTGAAATTCTACTTAAAAGGAACTAAATTTCAGTGGAGCTGAAATCCCAGATGTGTAAGCTTCCAAAAAGACCTGAGACAGCATAGTGTACAGCCAAGCCTCTTTCATTTGTGGCTAAAGCTCTGAAGCCAAGGGGTGTGTATCTAAAATCTGCTTAGAGTTGAAATATCACAAGAGATTTGTTATTAATATTTGAAAAAGAAAGAAAAATTTCTCTAACCTGCAAATTTCTGTCAATGCACCAATTAGTTTCAAAATCATCATCATCTTCTCCAAAAGGGTTGATAAGCTGCTCAGCTACCTGTAGTTGAAAAGATAAAATAAACCCATCATGATACCTCTGAAGACTAAGAATAGAGACTGAAGATGATTCCAGTTTTCCTTTCTGCTTCCTTTTGTGACTTTCAAAATATGAAGAGTAGAGGGGAGTAGATTGTCCTACCCAGATACTTATTAGCAAGCAAGACATGATTTGCAAATCACCAGTGATGCACCTTCATAGGTATGCTCTCCAAAGGAATCTGCACATTCAACTAGCAGCAATGCAGGCCCTATCAGGGGAAGCCATGTCCTATTTAGGAGCCAAATCAAATGACTGAATAGTGAAGGAGCACCAACAATTTGCAAGGCACTCTGAAGGATACACAGGCTATGCTTCCAGGGAATTTACAGGGACCAGATGATAAGACAAAATGTACACAGGGAGAAGGTTAAACAGTGAAGGAAGACTTAAATCACAACTAAAGAAAATAATATAAGGGGCTTTTACAATTAATTAATTTATTTATTTTGAGACTGTGTCTTGCTCTGTTACCCAGGCTGCAGTGCAGTGGCACAATCCTGGCTCACTGTAACCTGTGCCTCCCAGGTTCAAGAGATCTCCTGCCTCAGATTCTTGAGTAGCTGGGACTACAGGCAAATACCATCACATCCAGCTAATTTAAAAAAAATTTTTTTCAATAGAGATTGGGTTTCACCATGTTGACCAGGCTGGTCTTGAACATCTGAGCTCAGATGTTCTGCCCTCCTCGGCCTCCCAAAGTGTTGGGATTATATGTGTGAGCCACTGTGCCTGGCCGAGCTTTCAAATTACTGAACATAATTGCTAAGTAAATGAGTCAGAGAGCTAGTAAGTCCTAAAACTGGAAGTTGAGGCTTACTTAGTTTTACCCTAAAGGGTTTAACCTTATCCAGTAAGTTAGTTTTCCTGCCGGGAAAAGGTTAGGGAGCTATTATTACATATCTTTTAATATTTGATCAATATTATCTGTCCTTTCTTGCCTGGAGATTTGCATAGATTAATTAAGGGTACTGATTGAGTCTTGAAATCTTTTTGAATTCTGTCTAGATTTTCATTTTTATACAATCAATCCTGCATGTATTATCATAGTCTGCATTAAATTGACAAAATTGCATGCATGTTTCTGAATTGACAATCTCAAAATATATCTTTTTCTTCACTGGGGGCTGCATTTTCAGCAAGTAACTGAGTAATATATATTCACAAGGTTAAGAAGCCTTTTCTACACATTGAAAAGATTTATAAATATCCTAATTGTTGAGATAGAAAAGCTGTTTAGAAATGGAGGCACAATCCATTGGTGTTTAGGTTTGCCCATTTCTTTTTTTTTTTTTTGAGATGGAGTTCTGCTCTTGTTGCCCAGGCTGGAGGGCAATGGCACAATCTCAGCTCACTGAAACCTCCACCTCCTGGGTTCAAGTGATTCTCCTGCCTCAGCCTCCTGAGTTGCTGGGATTATAGGCGACCACCCCCATGCCCTGCTAATTTTTTGTATTTTTAGTAGAGATGGGGTTTCACTATGTTGGCCAGGCTGGTCTCGAACTCCTGACCTCAGGTGATTCACCCGCCTTGGCCTCCCAAGTGCTGGAATTACAGGCATGACCTACTGTGCCCAGCAAGTTTGCCTATCTTTTAATGGAGCTAAAATTGTGCCTTTAAGTATTTTGTCTTTTAAGATTTATTTTATTTTAGACAGGGTTTCATTCTGTTACCCAGCTGGAGTGCAGTGGTATGAATATGGCTCACTGCAGCTTTGGCCTCCTGGACTCAAACAACCCTTCCACCTCATCCTCCCAGGTAGCTGGGACTGCAGGTGTGCATCACCACACCTAGCCAAAGTTTTGCATTTTTTTTTTTGTAGAGATGGAATTTCGCCATGTTGCCCAGGCTCGTCTTGAACATCTGAGCAATCCTCCCACCTCAGCCTCCCAAAGTGCTGGGGTTACAGGCATGAGCCGCCATGCCTGACTTAAAACATTTTATAAAGGAAAAGGTTGTTAATATTTTAGAAAGCATGTCAGAAGGAAGGAACCGTTATCTGCTCTTTACAGGTTGGTCAAGCACCTTACATTGACACAAAACAAAGAATAAAAAGCTTAGTGCAACTCAGGAAAGGATGAAAAGTACTTTTCGAGAATGATTGAGTCTTTGGGCCACTGTGGTGATTTTATATTTATAAAGCTAATGTCTACTTTTTCCTCTAATGGGAAATGAAAGTCATTAGTCTCTTGTGATTTTTCGCTCTTAAGCAGGTAGAAATCATTAAGAATCATGGTAAATATGATTAAAAATGCTTCCATTTGTAAGGGACATGCCTTTACTCTTTGGAGTATAATTTGAAATGTCAACATATTATTTTTCTTTGTTAAGATTCAAATCAATGAAAGAAAAGACTTCTGCAGGGAAAATTTCACTGCAACCTGAAGACATCAGGGCTTGACAACGTATGGCTTTTTGGAAGGCCAAACATTTGAAAATTCTACTTTATTTATTTATGTATTTATTTAGAGACAGAGTCTCACTCTGTCACTCAGGCTGGAGTGCAGTGGCACAGTCTCAACTCACTGCAATCTCTGCCTCCCTGGTTCAAGCAATTCTCTTGCCTCAGCCTCCTGAGTGGCTGGATTACAGGCACGCACCACCACACCTGGCTAATTTTTGTATTTTTAGTAAAGCTGGGGTTTCACCATGTTGGTCAGGCTGGTCTCGAACTCCTGACCTCATGATCTGCCCACTTCGGCCTCCCAAAGTGCTGGGATTATAGGCATGAGCTACTGTGCCCGGCCAAAAATTCTATTTTATGAACATCATCTTCTTACCATAATTACATTTCAATGAACTTAATGAAGCCATTGTCATTGATTTTTTTCTATTGCATACTTTCCATTTGGAAGTTTATAGAGGTGATGGAAGAATCAGGTCTCTGATATTTACACACTTACATTTGAGGAGGTGGTGGTGAAGGGAGGGGGAGCAAGAAAAATTCTACACAGAAAATTAGACAAACCATTCTCACAGCCTGAAACTGTTTAATTTCCTGGCAAATCATGTTGTCATTATTACTGGTGTTTCTGGTTTTGATTCTGGTGAATTCTTTTCTGAGTCTCAGTTTTGGTTTTAACAATGGGGCACATTTAATGTGGTACAGCTAGCAGAATTTCAGGGAATTGCGGTAACTATCTACAGAGTTGAGCAGAACCAAGATTCTACTACAATATTAATGGTTAAGTCTGATTTACAAGGCATCTTGTTTACTCTTTTTTTTTTTTTTTTTGAGACGAAGTTTCGCTCTTGTTACCCAGACTGGAGTGCAATGGCGTGATCTCGGTTCACCGCAATCTCCGCCTCCTAGGTTCAGGCAATTCTCCTGCCTCAGCCTCCCGAGCAGCTGGGATTACAGACACACACCACCGTGCCCAGCTAATTTTTTGTAATTTTAGTAGAGACGGGATTTCACCATGTTGACCAAGATGGTCTCGATCTGTTGACCTCGTGATCCACCCGCCTCGGCCTCCCAAAGTGCTGGGATTACAGGCTTGAGCCACCGCTCCCGGCCTCTTGTTTACTCTTTTACTCTGCTTAGTTGCTTATTGTGGTATATACTATCAATGCAGGTACACTTATTACTTTAGTAATTACAGTCATGTAATCCTAATGGGAATACACAGAGACTTAAAAGAGAATCAATAGCCATAAAAGAGTGTTCTTCTAATCTCTTTGCACAAATGAGCTGCTTCAGACAGTACTGACTATATCCCTGTCACTTGAATCCCTGGCAGAAAAGTGATAAGGAGCTATTACATGTTAAATCTACATTTGACTCACTCATGAGTGATTGGCTAAAGACTCAGTAAAGGATCAGTGTGGAGAGTCTGGAACATAACAGATAACAAAGTGGGCCCCTGAAACCATTGGCTACCTTGAGCCATCCTGCATAGAAGAAGAATTGTAGGAGGGTGAAGATTGGAATGTAAAGATCCAAGTCATGCCCTGCGTAGCCTTTGGTGGGATCCAAAAACTGGCGTCCAATCAGGCACGTAAAGAAGAAGGTATAGACAGCAAGAGTGACAACCTGGAACAGAGAGAGACTGGAGTGAGGGGACAGTGCTGGCCTCCCACAGTGAAGCTACAGTGCCAAGGTGGGCGAGTAGAGAGAAAGAATTCCATGCAAAGTATTTCTTACCTGGGTGTAAACCAGCGGAATCCCAACCCAGTCATAACCGAATAAGAGGCTGCACCAAGAGCGGAATCGATTCATTTCCTAAGCCAGAAACAGATCTAACATGATTTACTAAGATGACAGGTGTGGTAACAAGTGTTTACCGGGATTCAGAATGTGAGCATGTCTTTTATGAATATGTCTGTAAAACAACAGGACTGACCGTAAGTCTAGTAAATTGGTTCCCAAGGATACTCCAAAAGAAAAGTTCTAAAAATGACAATCAATCAATGAATATCATTGGAACCATGTGTTCATTGATGAGTATATTTGGACATTAAAGAAATATTAAAATAAGTCATGGCCACGTGCAGTGGCTCATGCCTATAATCTCAGCACTTTGGGAGGCTGCGGCAGGAGGATCACTTGAGCCCAGGAGTTTGAGATAAGCCTGGGCAACATAGACATTGTTTCTACAAAAAATAAATAAATTATCTGGGCTTGGTGGCATGCACCTGTAGTCCCAGTTACTCCAGAGGCTGAGATGGAAGGGTCACTTGAGCACAAGAGGTCAAGGCTGCAGTGAGCCATGATCGTGCCACTGTGCTGCATGTAGCTTGGGCAGAATGACACTCTATTTCCAAAACAAAAAAGGACTTCATAAAGGTATCCCTCGCCACCATTCTATTGTTCCTATAATTTTCAACATATATATTGACCCAAAGTCATGATGATAAGGAAATGGTATTTTAAATAAGTAACTTTTTGTCAATTTTGGTAGATAATCTGGAAAGCAATTTTTTTGTTTCTCTCATTTTAAAACATGCTTATTATAGATCTTAGAAAAGAGATATAATTATACCTGTTTCCTCCCATGAATGGAGACTTTATAACACTCATATTGATAGAAAATCTATCTCTGAAGCAGGAAGGGCAGGATTCTTTGATTTTTAAAAATCTATTTCATACAAGTTATTATGTAAGACTAGGGGAAAGAGTTCACATTAATCTGGGCACTATTTTTAAACAATTCATTCCTGTTAGCCTAATCCAGGCAGGGGACTGTTGTGGCACAAATATATCCAGCCCTTACATAAATTTGTTTTGTTTTTTTTTCAGATGAATTCAAGGTTACTTTGTTTAATGAAAATACTATTTTACTTACTAGAGTATCTAAAAAGGTGGCTAAATCTCACAATATTCCAGTTTGGGGGATGTGGCTGGGGAGGTTTATTTCTCCTCTAGAATTTATTCTACGACCCTGGATCCAGGGATGGCAAATATGCCACATGGACACCATAGCCTTCTGAGCCCTTGGCGAACCTTAGCTAATCAATCAAGGAATACTTTCTTACAGAGCCTATTAGAAAGCATGATTTTGTTTAAAATATAGCATCCAAGCAACCATTTCCAAGCAGCTCGAGTTTAACCTGTGTTTCACCTCTGTCCTGCATGCTGAGGGTTCTGACACCGGTCCAATCTTTCCGGTTCCTTTGGAACCAGGACTGAATTAAGCTGACTCTTCCTGGTCTAACGTGTTACCTCCAGGTCCCTCTTGGTCTCTAATTAGCATCTTTTTCTTATGGTTTATGATATACTTACAGTCATCAATGATTGCAGATCAACACTGTCTCTGATTCTACCTTCATTCCGGGCTTTAGTTGCAAGATTTCCAAACCAGATGAATGGAACCCAATATTTCAGATGAGGAGATTTGAGGTGGTTGAATAATTTCCTTTCATCTGCTGTCATAAAACCTTTACAAAAAAAAAACATGGGTAGTTATACAAACTTAGTTTGGCACTAATATGTTGCCATATTTCAGCATCTACTATGTAAGCATATAATAAGGGATATTAAAGAAGTATGGACTAAAGGTTCCTGTCTCAAGCAGTTTATACTTGCATTAGAGTTAAGGAATCTGTATGTGTGAGTGCACACGCACACACACATACGTATGCATGCAAAGCCACAAGTTATATAAAATCCCTGATAGTAGAGGCCAGTAGGGAGTAAGGAGACATTAAATGTGAACTAGATATTTAGGTTTTAGTTTAGTCATCTAAAATCGGGAACCATAATACTTAGAATTGTTATGATTAATAATAAAATATGATAGTGTATACAAAGCACTAGGCATAGTGCTGAACACATGATTTACATCACTTCTCCTGATCTCTCCTTTCCAAGTCCTACTTAATCATGTCCTCCTCTGTGAAGGCTTCCTTGAGTCCTTCCTGCTCTTTCCTGGGGGATTTTTTTATAGTTCCTTTACAGTTCTCAAGTGGTATCACCCTTGGCTTGCATCACAGTAATATCACACATAAATGTTTCCCTCACTATGACCCTCTTGAAGGGCAAAGAGTATATATTAATCTTCATAGTCTGCATACCATTTTGCACATATTTTAGAAGTATTTCTTTGTGGCCAGGCATGGTGGCTCATGCCTGTAATCCCGGCACTTTGGGAGGCCGAAATGGGTGGATCACTTGAGATCAGGAGCTCAAGACTAGCCTGGCCAACATGGTGAAACTTTTTCTCTACTAAAAATACAAAAATTAGCTGGGCATGGTGGCGCACGCCTGTAATCCCAGCTACTGGGGATACTCAGGCAGGAAAATTGCTTGAACCCAGGAGGCAGAGGTTGCAGTGAGCTGACATTGTGCCACTGCGCTCCAGCCTGGGAGATAGAGTGAGACTTTCTCCAAAAAAAAAGGGTTTCTTTGTGTGTGTGTGTGTGCATGTGTGTATGCATACACGAATGTGTGTGTATAAAGTGCAATTTGCTTGAGCTTGCAGTGAGCTCTCTGAGCCTCAGTTTTCTCAATCTGTAAAAGAGAGTTAATACTTGCTTCACAGGGATGTTGTAGAATTACCTGAGATGATGTACATATGTCAGTACATTATTTAGCATACTGCTTAGCACACACTTAGCACGTGCACTAAGGTAGATTATGTGAAACTTTAGTTATCCTCTGACTGCTCCTCCCTCCGCGAACACCAAGGGAAGACGAGATTGAGTGACTGAATTATAGAAGAGGAATAAGGTAACAGGTTTATTTAATCAACAAACATTTATTGAATGCCTACTATATACCAGGCTTTGCTTGCATAAAGATGCACTTTAAAACTTAGAGTTTACAGTTGATCTTTTATTTTTAAAAATTTTGATTGAATAATTCAAATGGTACAAAAATCCCAAAGGGTCAAAGGACTATTAGTGGAGAAAGTCTCCTTTTCCCAGCCACAGTTTCCCTTCCTGGAGGAAATCATGATGATCCATTTATTGTGTATCTTTCCAGAGAAATCTCATAGATTTTCATACAGACCTATTTTTAAAAACACAAATGGCTTTATACTACTTACGTATCTGCCATTGGCTTCTATTTTTCAGATATATCTTGAAGATTAAAAAAATTAGAGAGAGCAGCAGCATTCTTTTTAATGTCTGCTCTCTATAGATTAACATTAATTTATAGTTAAATGTATATAATTTATTTAGCAAGTTTCCTTTTGAATAGACATTTTAAGACATTTAAGTTTTTGATTATTTTGCTGCTTAAAAATAATGCTACAATGACTCTCCTGGGATCTACTCTCTTGGCTATTTATTTTAAGTAGCTTTTAAATGTTAATTATAATTTAATATAGTGTTTTCTGAATTAAAGCTTATTTCTAAAACTGATTTTTATTAGATACTAATTTTTGAGTTTTTTTTTTTTTTCTCAAAAAAGCAATTATTTGCTTATGGAATTCTGATACTGATACTACATGCAGATGAAAATCAACTTTTGCCCTAATATCACACATTTTCTATCTTTAACCATTTGTAATCAGTTAACAAATCTGGTTGTCCTATTTAAGGTAATCCTTTTGCTGAGTGCAGTGGCTCATGCTTATAATGCCAGCACTTTGGGAGGCCTAGGCAGGAGGAGTACTTACTTAGGCCAGGAGTTTGTGACCAGCCTGGGCAACATCACATGACTTCATCTCTAATAAATAAATAAAGTAATCCTCCCTCCTTATGATGCAGGCCAAATTTTATTTAAGTGGTAGTGTTACAATAAAAAAAAGTCAAAGGAGAAGTGAAGCATGCTCTTTCTGAGAGTCATCAATTCATAGAGCTTTGGCATTATCTAGATTTTTGACGAGACCTGGGCCATTGTTTTTAAGAATAAGATCCAAAGGCCATAGGTCTGCATCACTTGTGACATCTATTAAATATGGAGAGACCTGGACCCCAACCCTGACTACTAAATCAGACTCAGTAGGGCAGGAGTTCTCAACCCAGGTTTGCACCTCAGAATCTCATGTGGGTACTTTTAGAAAATACCAATGCCTGGGTCTTATCCTTAGACACTCTGATTCAATTGATCTAGGATGAGGTCAGGCATCAGCATTCTTTTTAATCTTCCTGGGTGATTTAATAGAATTGGGTCTAGGCAATTGCATGTTTACCAAGATGTGCAGGAAATTCTGACATACAGTGGTGTTTGAAAATCACTGTCCCACTAACTGAAGGTTGTTTATTCAGGATTTGAAATAAACAAAGTAAAAACTACAAAGCCAATATTTACCAACAGGAGGCTAGTTTTAGATAACACTTGGGTTGTTTATATCAGCTTAGAAGGGTTCTCTCCATGTCTGCAGAATGATACTCTCCCTGGAAGTAAAAAATAAAAATGAGCTTGGCAATTCTCTTCTTGTTTCTCAGTGCATCTGAGAGTTGTTGCATGATCTAAAAAAAATCTGTTTTTGTTTCTTAAAGAATTGCAGAGCATGATTAAATTTAAAAAATTTTTTAATGGGACAGAATATCTCTCTGTCATCCAGACTGGAGTCCAGTGGTGTGATCTTTGGCTCACTGCAGCCTCAACCTCCCAGGCTCAAGCAATCCTTCCACCTCTGCCTCCTGAGTAGCTGGGTCTACAGGCACACGCCACTATGCCTGGCTAATTTTTATATTTTTTGTAGAGATTGGGTTTCACCATGTTGCCCAGGCTGGTCTTGAACTTCCTGGGCTCAAGTGATCTGCCCGTCTTGGTCTCCCAACATGCTGGGATTACAGCAATGTGCCACTGTGCCTGGTCAGTTAAATCTTATTGGATGAAGTTAACAGATAAACTTGCTCTGTCTTGGCTTTATGCTGAAAGACTTCCTGTAGCTTATTCTCACATATCCCATATCAATTGTCTAACAGTCATATTCTTGGGACCTATAATATAACTTTTAAAAATGATCTCATTTATACATTAGCTGCAGTCTCTGTCATTTGACCAAAGAATAACTTTATCTCTGGCTATTTTTTATTCAGAAGTACGGATCAAATTGTGCTAGCACGTCCTTCCTTAGCTTCTAAGAAGAAAGCAAATATGCAGAGTGAGGGTTTATTTGTCATAAACACTAATGCAAGAGATTGAAAGAGTAGAGCAAGAAGAGCTGGTGATTTTGTTTTCAGCCCAAATTTATTGAGTATTTTGCTAGGTGTTGGGAAAGATGAATGATGATCACAGACATTAATGTATCCTCTAAGAATATATAAGAAGAATAATTTTTGTTATTCCTTGCAGGGTCACACTTATTTATCCAGAGTATGAAAGGAAAATATTTTGGGTCCCCAAAATCACTAAGCTAAAGGAGAAAGTCAAGCTGGGAACTCCTTACAGCAAACCTGCCTCTTGCTGTATTCAAGTAATTATTCTGCTCACTGAGATAAAAGCATATCTGATTGCCTCCTTTGGAGAGGCTAATTAGAAATTGAAAAGAATGCAACCATTTGTCTTTTAGCTAGCTCTGACCTGGAAGTTCCTTCCCCACTTTGAGTTGTCCCGCTTTTCCAGACTGAACCAATGTTTATCTTACATATGTTGATTGATGTCTCAGGTCTTCCTAAAATGTATAAAATCAAACTGTTCTGACCACTTTGGGCACATGTCATCAGGACCACCTGAGGTTGTGTCATGGGTGCACGTCCTCAACCTTAGCAAAATAAACTTTCTAAATTAACTGAGACCTGTTTTAGATTTTTGGGGTTCACAAAAGTAACTCCACCTTTGGAAATCAAAGTTGTTGGTCAACTGAAAGAAAATCTCTAGATTGTTGGTCAAGTCCATTCCAAAAGTATTTGTTATGAAATGGAATGTCATCCTTATTGGGACTTCAAGCCATTTTACCCAGAGACCAATAGTGTTTTTCAGAATATGATCATTATTGTCATTGCTGAGGCTATGTTATTACAGTTACTAATTTGCTACAGTTTGGCAACATTCTCAGTGGGCTGGTCCTCCCACCACTTGGTCCCCTGCACCTGTCTGTCTCCATGTCATGCTCCCCTCAGGCCCCATCACACCCCTGGTATAGCTATTTTATTCTGCCATTGCATCTGCTTAAGTTTCTCTTGCTATCACTTTTCCTTCTGGCTGGCTCAGCTCTGCTCAGCAATTTTCATATTGCTTATCCCCAAAACCCTCCTTCATCTTTCTAATCAGAGTAAAATCTATCTCTCAATATAGATACATGTTTGCATTTACTCCCAGTTGAGTTGTGGTTTGATGGAGCAGGATCTGCTACTTTAGGACAAAATTCTATTGCCCTCAAGCCAAAGGATTAATTACATCCATTGATAGACAAAATTCCAGTCATCATGGATTCTGCCTGCTGTACAGTTGGTCTATTTTTCCTTGATTGAAGTTGAGGCAGATGTCTTTTGCCTTTCAAGCAGAGTATTCAAACAAGGCTCTATTAGCAGAGGAACTA